ATTGTTCGGGTAATAATTTGAAAACTATAGGTTTATCTAGTAATAAAAAGTTAAAACACTTAGTTTGTGATAATAATCCTATTAGGAAATTAGAGGTAAAACATTTAAAGCAGTTAGAGGGTTTGTATTGTTTTAGGTGTGTTTTGGGTGAACTTGATTGTGGAGGTTTAAAACATTTAAAAGAGTTGTATTGTGCTAATAATTATCTTCCTAATCCAGAAGACTATGCTTTTCTTGAAACTGATGAAGAAAAAAAGAAAAAAGTATTTGAAGCGGCTACTAAAAGAGCAGAAGAGTTGGTTGGGATTGATGAGATACTTGATAATATGGAACAAGAACTTGAAAAGGAGTTAAATGTTAAAAGAGAAGAAATAAAAGAGTTATCCAAGCAAAATGTTTCAGGAAAGTCTAAAAAAGGTAAAGCATTAAAGGAAAAAAGAAAATTGCTTTTAAAGGAGATTAAATTAGCTGAGGAAAAGTTAAAAAGGAAAGAGGAAGAATTGATTGAAGAAGTAGAAGTACTAGCCAGAATTGAAATTGGAAAAATGGTTTCTATGGGAAGAATACTAGGTCTAGATACTTGCGAAAATTTAGTGGAGTTAGACTGTGCGGAGAATTTTATTAAAGAACTAAATATTAGTGGTTTAAAAAAAATAAAACAAGTTTCTTGTAAGCAAAATGATTTGAAAATTATTAATGCTAGTAATTGTGTAAATTTGGAATTTTTGGATTATAGTGATAATTGAAAAAATACGAATGGTTTAGATTTTTTAGACCTCTCTAATTGTTTAAAGTTGAGAAAAGTATTTTCTGCAAAAAAGGTTGACCTTGACTGAACCCAATTTCCTAATTTAGAGTTATTAATGGTAGATAACCAAGATTATCCTCCATTTGAACAATTCCTAATCCAAAAAAGGGAAAAACGAATCAAAGAAATATTAGATAATCCAGATAACTATTCCCTTGAAGATTTGCTAAAACTAGAAAGGAGAGATTTGGAAGAAGTATCAAAAGAATTAAAAGAAAAACTGATTGAACTAATGAGAAAAAAACAAGAAAAGGAATTCGTTGATGAGTTAAAAAAGAAATTTGGTAAAGGCTATTGTTTTTCAACAGACAAAGAAGAAAATCCAAATAAAAAAGATGTTCCTCCTTTGGAAAAAGATAATTCGCCAAGTGAAGAAGAAACCCCTCTTAATACCCCTTCAGATGATGAAGAAGAAATACCACAGGATGATAAAAAAACCATTCTTGATTTACAAGAACAAATTAAGCAGTTAAAGGCAAAGATTAAAGAGTTGGAAGTAAATAACAATGAAAATACCCCCCAAAAAATAGAAGAAATTAGACAGGAAATCCTTAATTCTGATCTTAGTGAAGAACAAAAAAGAGAATTAGAGAAAATGCTGGAAGATATTAGTAAAACTGAGATTCATAAAAACAAATCTGATAATAAGTTCCCTGTTGGTTGAGTGTTTTGTGGATTGTTGCTATTAGTAGAATTATCAATAGTAGTATTAATTAACAGGAGAAACAAAAAAAATAACTAACGAAAATTTCAAATTTAACTTTGTTGTTATTACCCGCAGTTTATTCGATAGGTTACATTATGATATTTATATATAAAAACTTATTATATAAGATTGATGAAAAGATAATAAATTGGAATGATTACGTTAAAGAAACAAATGACAACACAGAAAGGTTGCCCCTTTCTAATTCACCTAAATTGATTATAAAACAGTTTCTAATCTGTAAAATTAGCGAAAATAATTTTAAAAATAAAATCAATAATACTAATACATAAGTAAGAGAGAGAGAGAGAGAGAGAGAGCAAAATTGAGGTTTGGCTCCTTTTCTTTCTACTCTACTTTACAATATCAATTCTCTCATGCCAACACACGAATACGAAAATCAACTCTGATTAGAAGAGTGACTAAGACATCGAACTAGATACGACAAAGAACATTTAGATAATATTGACAAGTTTAAAACCTCAGTCAAGAATCTAAACTTCTCATGACAAAAGTTAAAAGGGAAATTTGTCATTGAAAACTTCCCTAAACTAACCACCTTAAACTTAGGTAATAATGAGTTAGAAGAAGTAGAAATAATTAATTGCCCTCAATTACAAAATATAATTGTTTCTCATAATCAAAAATTAGAACAAGAAGAAAAGACTTTTACTTATGTTGAAAAAAAAGCAGATGGAACCAAAGAAACTAAAACTGGAAAGATGAAAGCAAGTAAAGAAGTGGAACCTACTTTGAAAAAGTTGAATATTAAAGATTGCCCTGAAGTAAGAGAACTTTACTGCTCTGATAATGGTCTTACTGATATAGATATTAGCCAATTAAATAATTTAAAAGTTTTGGCTTTTGATAATAATAAATTTTCTTCTGCTAGACAGCAAGAATTGGAAGATTTAGGTTTAGATAAAGAAAATCCTACTGGTAATCCTATTAAAGTGTTAAATAATGATGATTTTATTAATAATAATGAAATAGAAGAAATTGACATCTCTAATGAAGCAGGTTGAGAAAGAAAATTAGAAGTTAAGAATTGTCCTAATCTTACTCATTTAACAGTTGATAATTGTAAATTGGAAGAATTAGTTATTGAAGACTGCCCTAATTTAAAACATTTATCTTTTAGGTTTAATAAAATTGAGGAGATTGATTTAAGTGGTTTAGATAAGTTAGAGGGATTATATTGCTCTGATAATTTTTTAGATGAATTAGATCTCTCTAACAACCTAAAATTGAAACATTTAGTTTGCGACAACAACCCGATTAAGGAATTAAAAGTAAGACACCTCAAAGATTTAGAGAGTTTATATTGTTTTAGGTGTAAAGATGTGTGGGAATTGGATTGCGGGGGTTTAGAGAAATTGAAAGAGTTGTATTGTGCTAACAATACTGATCTTGGCTTTAACGACTTTGTAGATTTGAATATTGATGGCTGCATTTCCTTAGAAGTTTTAGATTGTGCTGAAAATAGCTTTGAGGAACTGGTTATTGCTGATAAACCAAAACTCACTTTTGTTTCTTGCAAAGAGAACGAACTTGAAAATTTAACCATTACCAACTGCCCCAACTTAGTTTTTTTAGATTTTTCAATGCAGCGAACTGATGATGATTTTTCCGCTAAGCTAAACACCGATGTAAATTCTCTCCAAAAAGTCTTTCATGATAAGGGCGACATAACACCCGATTGAAAAAAATTTCCTAGTTTGGAATTATTGATAGTTGGTGAATTTAAAGAAATAGAAGAGGAAGGAGAAAAGAAGATGCTTTATTCCACCAAAGAAACTGATTTCTTGCAAATGAGAAATACTAGCCGAGTGATAAAGATAATTGCTAATCCAAATGATTACACTCTTGAAAAATTATTGGAGTTGGGAAAAAAGGAAATGCATGGTGTTACTTCTGAATTAAAAGATAAAGTTTTCAAGTTAGGGCAATTAATAATTTTGATTTCTTTTAAATCACAATTATCGGCGATTAAGGTTTCAAGGTTTTCACAATCTTTAATCTCCAATTTATCCCAACCACTTTCATTAGAAATATCTATTTCAGTTATTTCATTATTATTACAAAGAATATCATTAGTTAAAGTTCTTTTAGGCTTTTTGTGTTCTTTTCCTTTTTTAGCCAAACCTAGACCATCAAGTTTATT